CACGCAGCTCTGGCTTACTGGATATTTTAAGCCCACTGTTGAGACCTACTGCTCAGAGAAAAAGATTATTTTCAAACTATTATTGCTCATAGACAATGCACCTAGTCATCCATGAGCCCTGCTGGAGATGTAAAAGGAGATAAATGTTATTTTCATGCCTGCTAACACAACATTCATTATACAGCCATTGTAACTTTCAAATCTGATTAAGAAATATATGTTGTAAAGCTATAGCTGCTATAGATAGTTGTTTTTCTGGTGGATATTGACTAAGTAAATTGAAAACCTTCTGGAAAGGATTCACCATTCCAGATGCCATTAAATACATTCTTGATTCATGGAAGGATATAAAAAATGTCAACTTAATGGGGGCTTGGGTAAAGTTGATTCCAACCCTCATGGATGACCTTGAGGAGTTCAAAACTTCAGTGAAGCAAGTGACTGCAGATTTGGTGGAAATAGCATAAGAACTAGAATTAGAAATGGAGCCTGAAGATGTGACCGAATTGCTACAATCTCATGACAAAACTTAAATGGATGAGTTACTTCTTATGAATGAGCAAAGAAAGTGGTTTCTTGAGATGGAATCTTATCCTAGTAAAAATTCTATTAACATTGTTGAAGTGACAACAAAGGGTTTAGAGTATTGCATAAACTTAATAGATACAGCAGTAGCAGAGTTGACGCTTTACGTAAAGTTTATGCATCACATAAGCTTAATAGATAAAGAAGTAGAGAGGAGTGACTGCAATTTTGAAAACTGTTCTATTGTGGGCAAAAAGCCATTAAATGGCATGGCATGTTACGGAAAAATATCTCATGAAAGGAAGAGTCAACCTATGCAGCAAACTTCATGGTTGTCTTATTATAAGAAATTGCTACAGCCACTCTAGCCTTCAGTAAGCACCAACCTGATCAACCAGCACCATCAACAATGAGGCAAGACCCTCCTCCAATAAAAAGTTTATGAGGGGCTGGATGCGGTGGCTCACACCTATAATCCCAGCACTTTGGGAGGCCAAGGCGGACAGATTATTTGAGGTAAGGAATTCTAGAAAAGCCTGGCCAACATCGTGAAACCCCATCTCTAATAAAAATACAAAAATTAGCTGAGTATGGTGGCAGACAGCAGTAATCCTAGCTACTCAGGAGGCTGAGGCAGGAGAATCACTTAAATCTGGGAGGTGGAGGCTGCAGTGAGCCAAGATCCTGCTATTGCACTTTGGCCTGGGCCACAAGAGTGATATTCAAAACAAAACAAAAAAAAGTTATGACTCACAGAAGACTCAGATAATCATTTGCATTTTTTGGCAATAAAGTATTTTTAAGTTAAGATACACACACACACACACACACACATATATTTGTATACAGTACAGTGTAAATGTAACTTTGCACTGGAATACCAAAAATTGTGTATGATGTGCTTCATTGTGATCATCGTGATATTTATTTTATTGCAGTGGTCTGAAACCAAACAGCACTATCTCCCAGCAATGCCTGTACATGGAAATCCATGTTAATGAGTCAACAAGCAAAAGATGCATGTTAGTTAGCCTATTTACATTTATGGTGTGTCTTTTAAACCTTAATTTTCTAACAGAAAATTCATCATAGCAATATTTGGTGACGTGTGGGTCTTGAAATCACACAACATAAACAAGTATATACAGATTAAAACAAATCTTAACAAGAGTCTCAAAAAAAACTAGAGTCTTGTGTAGTTACTAAAGCATAATCTACTCATAAATCAAAGGAACCAGAATTGCATTTAAGCAGAATCCTTCTCCAGTTGATTGGGGGTCTGTATTTCCATAGAGCACAAGACAGTCCCTCTACGGATTTTCAAATTTCTCTTTTAGCACGCCTGTTGTTTTCTCAGTAACTCACCATGGTGTCCAGTGAAATACTGATTAGAGGTGGAAATAAGCAGTAGGAACAAATGAGTTAGTGAGGAGCAAATATCCTGTTTTCACCAAATTCTTATTGTCTTGCATTTCATAGCTACTTCCTATATTATTAGTCTGTTTTCATGCTGCTGGTGAAGACATACCAGAGACTGGATGATTTTTAAAGAAAAAGAGATTTAATGGGCTCACAGTTCCACATGGCTGGGGAGGCCTCACAATCATGGTGGAAGGTAAAAGTCATGTCTTCCATGGCAGCAGACAAGAGAGAAAATGAAGACCAAGCAAAAGGGGTTTCCCCTTATAAAACCATCAGATCTCATGAGACTTATTCACTACCATGAGAACAGTGTGGGGGAACCGCCCCCATGATACAATTATCTCCCACCATGTTCCTCCTACAACACATGGGAATTACAGGAGCTACAATTCAAGATGAGATTTGGGTGGGGACACAGACAAACCATATCACTTCCATTCCAAAGCACTTGCAGAACCATGAACACAATTTCCTTTAAGCCAAAGGCTACTACTATCTTGGGTGTGCATTGACTTGGCTTCATCGTCTTTAGTGTAAAAACCCTGTATTGACTGCTTTCTCTCTACTTGACAGTATCCTTCCCACAATCTCATACTGTCAAATACAGATTTAATTGTATAGGTTCCCATATGCAAACACCTTCCAGGGTCAGAAATTGAAGCAGGCTGGGGACATGGTGGCAAATGGAAATTATATGTCCACCTATGGGAGGCAAGGGATGCCCCTAGTGGTCCCCCTGCCATGTGGGAATGCAGGCCTGACCTGGCCAGATCTCCCTATTTTTTATAATAAACTAAAATTCTTGTGGTTTTCAAGTGTTGGTAATTGATCTTAATTTGCCAAAAGTATACAATGAGTCAAACAAAACACACCTGAATTATATGGAATCAGCTTGAACCCACAGGACAACAATTGACTTTCACTGGAATCCAGCACTAAGTGTAGTTACAGGGCCTATTCAACCTGGAAAAGATGCTTGTTCATCCTTTCTACTTTTACTTTGAGCTTGCAGTGAGTTATGATCACATCATTGCATTCCAGAATAGGCAACAGAGGGAGGCTCTGTCTATAAAAATAACAAAGAGGAAAAAAAAAAAAGAAAACAAAAGAGATACTGAGCAGGTAGAAAAGGTACTGTGATATTTTGGATGTAACTGTTTCTTAAAATGATCATCTACTCCCATGTGCAGTGAATCCCCATACATTATAGGAGGAGTGTGCTGGATTCCGTAGCATCCTTGTAGCCCATGAATTCTCCAAGACTGTCTCCATCATTCATGGGATTGTTTGGGTCATAAGCATGAATTACAGAGACTTAAACAGAGGTAGTTCAACCAAGGTCAGAGAAGGGTCTGAAATGCCCTTTCTCTGGTGAGGAGTGGTGCTGAGATTAGTAATAATTGCTGCCTTTACCACTTCAAATAATTATATCTTGGTGTTTAAATATTTCATTAATATTATTTTCTCACAGATAATTCAAATAAATTTCAAAGAATAATACACTATCATTCAGCTATCATATATATAGCTATATATATATATATTTCAGTTTGTGAAATAAACTAGTATTTAGATCAAACAATTGAGAGCTGCAACTAAAGATGAAAGAAACAAATTGGTAAATACTTTTTTTTTTTTTTTTTTTAATGAGACAGAGTCTCTGTTGCCCAGGCTGGAGTGCAGTGGTGTGATCTCCACTCACTGCAACCTCCACCTCCTGATTCAAGTGATTCTCCTGCCTCAGCCTCCTGAGTAGCTGGGATCACAGGTGTGTGCCACAATGCCCGGCTAAGGTAAATACGTTTTTTAAACAAACTGGTTGTATATTTACCAATGTTTGAATTACTGTCAATGTTTTCTTATGAGGAGTTATTTTATCATTTGTTTAAAACCTAGCTTTTGATATAGTTTCTCTGAAGTCTTTAGAAATTTTTAAAAAATCCCTCATGATTTTGTATTTCATGAAATACCAATATTTTTTAAATTTCCCTTTTAACAATAAAAAGTGCTAATACGGATTATGAATGTGAATAAATTGTGAATGAACTTTTTAAAAAGGTAGCTTAAATATATGTAACCGGAAAATGCATTTTTAAAATGTAGGCTTCTATAATTTTGCTTCTATGCCTTGCCACATGACATTTTGTGATAAACAATTGTTCTTTGTTTAGAGTTTGTCTGGTAGAGGGAGCTTCATTCAGTTTTTTCTTTCCCTTTATTTATATGCCGGTGTGCATGATGTCTAAATCACTGGTCAAGAGTTCCTTGGGGATTTTCATATCTGACTACATGGCAAGGTTCCAGACCCAAAGTAAACCTTTCAGGGAGTGGGAATGAGTGGGAGGATGTCGCCCTGGGCATGGTGCTTAGGAGGCCAGATTCCCCTAAACCGGCTTTGCTGGAAGCCCTGGGAAACCTCAGATGTGGTCTGCTGTCCAGGTACACTTACATGGTGTGTGTGGCAGGGGGGACTGTCAATTTCTGAATGGACTTTGTCTCATCCTCACGACAACATATTTGAATTTTAAAGGCAAATGTCAGCCTGTTTAGAAAACTACGATAAGCGTGACGGATGCATTCATTACTTAACAACTCCGGGGTGAAACTGGAGGTGAACGGTTTCACCCTTTCAGACTCAGGGGTGTAACTAGTTCTCGGTAGTGTGCACAGTCAGACCTCAGGCTCGCACGCTGGGCTCCCAGCCTCCTGGCGGTGGACTCGCGTGTACCCCGCGTGTGGCCGCGGACCCCTGTGCACACCGCCGCTGCAGTGCTGTTGAGTACACAAGACCCCGAGAGGAGCTGGCAGATGAGAGCCCAGCTGTTGCTGTGAGACCGCCTGCGGGCAGTCCCGACCCTGGCGCTCGCCACCAACTGCGGCGCAGCCTCCTCCGCGGTGCCCGCCCTTCGGCATCGCTGCAGCCCCTGCAGCAAAGCTAACTTAAAAATTTTAAATAAAATAATCATTTTTTAAAACTGCCGGAAAACTCCGGCTCCGACCCCTCCCCCAGCCCGCCCGGCGGCGGCGCTCAGTGACACCGCGAGCGCGAGCCGCGGCCCCAGCTGGGCCGAGCGCGCTGCCGGAGCGGAGCCGCGGTAGGTGAGGGGCCCGCATTCCCCGCCCGCCGTGGGCGCCTCGCCTGGCACGGATCCCGCCCGTCGCCCACTGTCGCCGCCGCCGCCGCCCGCGGGCACCATGACCGCTCTGAGCGCTGGGGTTACAGGTTGGTCACCTCGGCCGGCACCCAGGAGGCTGCGGCGCGGCCGGCTCGGTGCTCTGAGCCCGAGGCCCGGGATGCGCGCCGGCTGGTTCCTCGGCAGGGCCCGACCAGGACGGCACAGGGGCGCTGGGGGTGCGAGAGGGTCTGCAGGTGGGGATCCTGCGATGGGGAGGACTGGGGAGGGGCATCCCCACCCGAGAGCGGGCCGCTGGGGTCCTCGCCGGCCTGGCTGGGGCGCGGGAGCCGCGATGCGCCCTCCCTGTCCCTGCGTGTGGGTGTCGGGGGCGCCTGCTGTGGTTTGTGCGTAGGCTGGCTCGGGAAGCCCAGGGCTGGGGAGACCTCAGGCCTGCCAAACCTGGGCATCTAGCAGGTGTTGGGGGGCAGGTGGCTGAGGACGAGGCCACTGGGCAACACGACAGCACTGCACCTGCCCCCTCCGCACCCAGCCGCCGCCTGGGTAAACCTCTGGCCCAACGCGCAGAGTTGGGGGCAGCTTGGCTCCGGCAGGTCTCCCCGGCCTTGCCCCACCCCCATGCTCCTGTGGATTGCCCCTTGCTAAATGTCCCTGATGGTATTCATTGGCCTAGTTAAGGAGCCGTCATTAGGGTGGCCACACCGAGCGCAAAGCAGTGTCCTCAGCAACACCATCTTGTTACTGAATCTTTAAGAGACCAGCAAGGATGGCTTGGCTGGGATCCCTCGGGGGCCCAGATCCCAGATCAGGAGTTATCTTGCTGACTGAATGTTCCTCTTTCAGGATGGTATGAGAACTCTGAATTCAGACCCTTAGTGCTTGAAATATCATAGGATAAATCTTTCAGTTTCAGGTACAATTTTTCAGAAGCTGTATTATTAAGGATGCATGAAAATACACGCTCACTTTCAGGCCTCAGAAGGTTTTACTCTTAATCTGGTGTTCTTCTGGTCATCAGCTAGGCCCGACTGCCCTGGTGGTGAAATGTGGGTTGAGGACCAGTGACCTTCCTGTTAGTAGTTGGTGGGCAACACCTCTAATAGGGGATCAAAATTTAACAGGTGGCGATTTTGAAAAAAAAAAAATGATTTGTATGTTCATAACTACAACTGATTTGATATGGCCTGGGAGAGGAGTGATTTCACTATGGTAGTTACCCCTGAGGCAGATGAGTTGCAGGAGTGTCTTTTTACATTCAAAGATTAGGTTTCCACAGTTCTAAATAAAAATCATGGCTTCCCAAACCTCTGCAACAACAAACATTTACTCCCTAAACGGCTGGCTTTCATTCTGTGTGCCTTTCTAGGGTGAATTTTTTATTCTTCTGTAGTATACTTTGACCTAGCCGTTGCTAAAACCAGACAGAGTGAAGACAAAATCTGACTTTGGAGAAAAACTTAAAAAGTGAAAAGGTTCAATTAGATCCTCTTTTGTGTTCTTAGAAGACATGATCTGTTTGCAGAATAAATGTGCTGTCACTGATGGGGACTGTGCTAAAATCTATAAGCTCCAGAAGAAATCATGTCTCATAAAACAGTGGCAATGCACTTATAACTTTGGATCGGACTTGCAAGATATTCAAAGGTGGAAAAAAATGTACCTTTAAAAAAGGTCTACTCAAAATAGTGTCGTTTACTTGATGTTTAGTGAACTGAAGAGTTGAGTAGCATTTTCTTCTTCGTGGGTATGGCATTTCTTTGAAATGAGTTCCAGTTGATAATTTTATCTTTCCTGCATGCTATGTATATGCACAAATTTACATTTGTTTTATCATCATCAGTGATGTTCGGATAATTTCAGAATCCCATAGCGGTATAAATTTATCCCAGTGTCAGAGTCACATGTGGATTTCAAGTTTGTGAATGAAAATTCACTTCTACACCGCTCTGTCCTAAGATAAGCTAAGCACTGGGTGGTGATAAGCTAAGCTGGGTGGTGAGTGAAGAAAAGAGATAAACCCAGAACCTAAGAATCCTTCAGGAAAGACAAATATGTTAGCAGGTGGCTATACAGTGAGATGTCTTATTTTCTAGTTTTGGCTCGGCAACTATGATATTGAGTTTAAACATATTAAGAATGGTCCCCAAGGCCAGGCACAATGGCTCATGCCTGTAATCCTAGCACTTTGGGAAGCCAACACCAACGCAGGCCTATTGCTTGGACCCAAGAGTTCCACCAGCCTGGGCGACATGTTGAAACCTTGTCTCTACCAAAAAAAAAAAAAAAAAATTCACCAGGTGTGATGTTGTACAGCTGTTGTCCCAGTTACTTATGGGGCTGAGGTGGGAGAATCGCTTGAGCCCAGAGAAGTCAAGGCTGCAGCAAGCTAGGATGGCACTATTGTACTCCAGACTGGGCAGCTGGGCACAGAGTGAGGCCCTGTTTAAAAATTAAAAAAAAAGAATACCCCTGCCCAAAATGGTATTAACATTTTAGAGCTTCACTCGTGTTATACAATTCTTACCTGACCAGCACAAGCTTTTATACCTTCAAATTCTATGCAAATCCTTAAATATTTTAAAGAGATTTTATGAATTTTAACCAAAGTTGATAAAATGATAGAGTAAAAAGAATAAACACCTTAGTTTTAACAACCAAAGACAAATGATCACAATATCTGAGTCCTTTCTGTATTCTTTTAAGGGCTTGACTTTAGGTAGTTGTAGTCATGGCATTGCAGAACTTTTCTACTGTTTTTCCATTGACTGTTTATTATAAACATTAAAAAATATTTCTATATAATTTTCTTACTTAAAAGTTGTAAATGGCTATATAACACCATACCCAGTAAATACAGCCTCATGTATATAACCATTATCTCTATCATTGGACATTTGCTGTTTCCAGCTTTTCATCATTATAAACAGTGTCCTAATAGATGGTTATAATGTAGAGATTTATTTCTATTTTATGTTCTTCAGGATAAATATCCAAATATGTCCATATCTATCTATCTATCTATGTGTCTGTCTGTCTATCAATATCCTGGTTTCCTGAAGAATTCAAATTATAATTTATTTACGACAAATTTCCAATAATTATGTCTTTGAAAAAAGAAGTGTCTGAATTATTATACGGATCCATGTATGTCTTCAAATTGATTTCCTCAAGAATTCAGATTATAATTTTAAATACGTTGCTTGATCTGCTTTTGAGAGAAATCTGCCTTTTTACAAAAAGTGTTTGTGGATCACATTTCCTCTTTTACAGAAATAAAAGAAGGTAACATAATAATTTGGATGTTTGACCTTTGCGCTATATACAAACTTGATCTTTACGAAAATCATCTGAAAACCAGATAAAATATACCTTTTAGAGTAAAACCAAAATAGGAATACTATAAAGGTTCAAAGCTGGAAAAAAAAAAAAAAAAGATCGACGCAAATTCCTTTAGAAAATTGGCTGTTGTGTTCAGGAGTCTAATTTGGCTTTTTGCCTACCCACCCAGATTTCCAGTAGATGACCAAAGGAGCTTATGTAGTGAGAAATCTGTACTCCCACAGGTAAAGGAATAAGAGGGTCTTTCCTTCCTCGGCTGCAGAATCCAATACTTTTCTGATGGATTCAGTATAGATGGAACAGAACTGATGGGAAAAACTAAAGTTCAGTTCACAATTTCCTTTCTAAGAGACGTGTACAAAAAATAAGGAAGACAGACCCTAGAAAAGACCCTTCGTATAAAGGAGTAAAGGCAAAAGTTGGAAGTAGGCATTTGGTAAGACAGAATTGCTTGCCTCCTAAAGCAATTTCTCCATGAGGTCCCAAGGCAAATGCAGCCATACCAAAATATACTCTGAATTCAGGGACTGACCCCACAGGTCAAGGGTGGGGGCAGATATGAGCCTCCGCAGCAGGAGTGGAGGAGAATTAGAAGTAGGATAGACCAGAACAGTGAAGCCAAGAGAATAGTTTATGAAGAGATCAAGAGTGAGAATTATTTCCAATTAATCAAAGAAGACAGATGAAAAGAGGACATTGTTTGGAGAGATGATGATATAGATGGAAGACAGCCAGCAGAGACACACCAATACATGTTTTTCCTGACAGAGGATCACAGCACAAGGAACACAGCCACATTTTAAAGGGAGATAAGATCCTTTCTTTCTTTTAGTTTAAAAGCAATCCAAATATTCAGAGGAAAATAGGCCATGCTATACCAAAACAATTAATAAAACTTGGCCAACATCTAGATATAGCCTGATAAACACTTTGGATTTGAAAACCAATAAAAAGAAAAATATTCCATGAGCAGTGTGATCAAATGCTTAAGAAATTACTTATCCATAAATAGAAAATTTAGATTAATATTATATTCTCTCTCTAAAATTATCAGCAAACAGTAAAATAATGTCCTGAAAATCTGTAGTCCTGAAAAATATAAGAAGACAATTCTCATATGTTGTAAATGAGTCAAAAAAAATTAATAGGTAAAGAAATACATACTAGGTAAATGATATCAATTTAAAAAAGGATGAGGTAGAAGTGTGTAAATATCAGAAAACAGTTCAAAAAATTGTTTGATTAAATGAGAAAAAAGACCTTAAAGTCATAAAAGTTGCTATCTTTAATACCATTATAACTACAAGCTTCCTACATATATCAATGATCAGAGCATTCTAGTATGCACAGTTAAAAGTATGATGCTGGCCAGGTGCAGTGACTCATGCCTGTAATCCCAGCACGTTGGGAGGCCAAGGCAGTCAAGTCACGAGGTCAGGAGTTCAAGGCCAGCTTGGCTAACATGGTGAAACCCTGTCTCTACTAAAAATACCAAAAAAAAAAAAAATTGCTGGGCATAGTGGCAGGCACCTGTAATCTCAGCTACTCGGGAGGGGATGCTGAGGCAGGAGTCATTTGAACCTGGGAGGCAGAGGTTACAGTGAGCCAAGATTGTACCATTGCACTCTAGTCTTGGTGACAGGGCAAGACTCCATCTAAAAAAAAAAAAAAAAAAAATATATATATATATATATATAATGCTTATTTTAAGGGAAAGAGAGGGGAAAACATGCCCATAGATTCAGTATCT